TAGTATTTAGGTAAAAAGGTAAAACACAATTTACAAAAATCGCTTTCGGGAAAATATATACGATTATATCTAACACTAATTAATTATTGTTTTACATATTATATTCAAGTTAAACATTTTTATATAAGTTTATTAAACATACCATTACTAAATTGTTGAAAGACGTTTTCATTTAGAGTGGTAATTATAATTACAAAACCCTTTGACGGTTACAAAGGACTTGGCTATGTAATATTATTTCATATCACAGTTCAGGACCTAAAGTTACTAACGACATTGCTGTAATGTGACTCCCGACCTTAACAGAGGACCTGCCTAATTGCTTAGTCAGAGATTAGTGGACGAGCCGGGTCAACTTGCTGACTGGTGACAAATTAGAGTTAGCGTCGACCCTTAGGGAGTTTAGACTGAATTTAGATATCTTGATAGCATATATTATAAATGACAGGCTTTGAAATCGTTAGCTTACTTTAAATATGGTGTAATGTTTAATTAATCACCCTCAATCTTATTATTACCAGTTTTAGGGTTCGAAACAGAAGTGTTTAAGGAATATGTTTAGTCAGTTTAAAATAATCTCAAGGAAAATATTGAAGAATGCAAAAAGTTTTGCTGAGTTAACTACGTATCTCTTTTGTATAGACAAATTAAGACACTTATATTTAAGTTATAAAAATACTCAAATAGTCATCGTGGTCTCCAAAAATTTACCCCAAACTAATCCAAACATAATGAAAATAATGATGCGTTTTATTTTCAATAAACTATAAACTTTGTTTAAATAAATACATTGCCGGTTAAAAACCAGTTTCCGGATATTAGGAGTGGTAAAAGAAACTACACCCTGCACTATTGAAGACTATGTGCATAGACAAGTAATCTCTAGTAAAAGCTAGATGTAGATAAGAAATAACAATTAAATATACGAGTAATTTAATCCTTAAAACATTTGTCATGACTTAAAACTGTATATACTCGCAAAATTATTGTTTTATTGCTACATCGTAAAGAAAGCTATATAATGTATAACAAATAAATTAAAAATAAATTGCTGATATTTTCAAAACTACTTGATATCTATGTACAATTTTTTGTATTTGTGAATATTTATTAAATACTTGCTTTTTAATACAGTACAAGAAATGTTACAAGTCAAATTATTTCATGGAATTAGCGTGTTTTTACTACCGCCATACAAGAAACCAAAGTAGAAAGTGTGGAGGTTATAAAGAAGCTCAATAAATCTACGCCGGGTAAAGGTTTAAGACACAGCTTTCATAACACTAGCCGTAGTAAAAACATTATTAAACGTTTGTGATGTATAGCTCAATAAAGCCGGGGGTAATACCTTACTTTAACTTATAACGAGTACAAAACAATCGTGAAGATGTATTTTTTGACAAGTATTTTCATACCAATGATAATGGGGTAATTTATTAGCAACAGCTACAATACCTAGCACCTTAAAAGTATTGTGGAGTGTTCGAATAGTAGTTTTTCTGGGGTTTTGGACTCATTAAATTACAATTTTTTACCGTATTGTTTGCGTTATGACTAAAAAGAAATTGTTCATTGTAGGCCTACTTATAGCTTGATTTCCATTGGATAATAGATTTTGTTTAGGATGGATGTGAAAAAATTAAGCAGGTATTTAAATATAGCCATATACAAACTAGGGGTTCTACATCAAATTACCACAATGCAACAAACTGATAAGTAATACGTGTAATTCATATTGTGTAGGCCTACCATGAGTAGTACTATTGTTAAAGCATAAAAGATTCTTCAAATGGCATCTAATGTTATGAATTCAATTTTTCAGAACAAGAGTATGAATGTTTACCTTCAATTCAAAAATCTCTCTTGGGGAGTTACATAGTGTGACAATTTGATATTTTTATCCTTGAATCCACCCGTCGTTGATTATTGCTGTAGCTGAGCTATTGAAATAAGAGGCCACTATTCGTGCGATAATAACCTAAGCTTTGTCGTAAATAGATTTAACTCAAAAAATAATATAAGATTCACCTTTGAAGATTGGACGTATTTCGGGTATTGGGCCTGAATACGTTTCCCAGAATGGGTCGATTTACTTAAAACTCATCTTTTTTCCCAACAAATAATATGCCTAAACTAATTAACCTACATAGCTCCGTCTTGTTTCACCTACATCCACTACAAATGTTTCTCCGAATGTGACATTCTCCAAAGGTTTAAAGAAAAAACTAGGTCTATACAAATTAAATATAATGTTTCTTTAAACCATTTGTTAATTCCATTTTTCATGAAACATATGCAGTCGTTAAAAAAACTATATTTGAACTGCAAGTTGAGTTATGTGAATTATGTTATGAGTTATGTTAGCTCATATGTTATGTGAGTTATTATATACTGAGCAGTTCAGCTACAAAATGGAATTTAAATGTAAATGTATTAATTCTTTGTGTAACACAATTTTTATGAAATATCAATATTGTTCTACTACTTACAAGTATTTAATTGATGCACGATCAAAATAATGTACGCGATTAAATTATGTTAATACTAACCTTAAATAACCATTTTACTCACATGTACAAGATACTTTATTATTGAAACAAATTACTTTTCTATTTGAAATAAAGGGACCAAAGAGATCAAACTCATTCTTTTGTGCTGATGAAATCCTAAAAGCAATATGCTACAGTTTAGAAGCAAGATAATTAAAATGTCGTCTAGGTCTGTGCTATAAATGGTCTTCTGAGATTGAGTTTCAACCAATAATTAATTAATCCGGTTTGTATTTCAGTGACTATTCCTAAGGAGTAGAACATATTCTAACGACCTTTTTGGAAAGACCAAGGTTCCGAAACACCCTATCTGTTCTTTTCAGGACGCCGATGGACACAAATTGCCTTTCTCTCGAATGGTGGACCTTCCAAGTTTTATCGTGGGGTTTTAAATTTCAAAAAAACTTTTTTCAATTAATATTATATTTTTGTGATTTATTGTGTCTACTAATCAACTCAGCCAAAATAGGCATTTGAAATTGGATGAACTAAATGGTTGATCTAATTCCAAATCTACCATTACTTTACTACAGCTCTATTTGATGCTCAGGGGGTGACTTTGTTTTTTGAGGTTTCATATATAACAAATAACTCCTTTTGTTTGTGTTCCATTTGTATGATAATTGATCTCTAACCATATCGTTATAACTACTTTCTGTATACTGCGTCGTTTATAGCTTAAAGTTATTTGGTTAATAGTCATTTCAACTGAATGAAACCCCCACACAGTAAGTTAATCATCAACAAATGACTACTCAGACGTGTCAGGTAAATATGGGGACATCGAAATGAAAAAGTAAATTTGTCCCAAGTCTAGGTCTTGCCGTGTCACTTACGGTAATAGCTTCTTCCTTCCCTATAGGGAAATTCGTTAAAACTTTGTGAAAAAATGTGTTCAAATACGTTTAATATGTTTTTATAACTAAAGTTAATACGAAAGTATTTGATATCATTGTTTAAAACTTGTAGAACACCAGTTATAGTAGTAAAACCACAAGGAATAGGGCCTATGTGTTTTATTTCGCTCTTCTATACAAATTATTAGTACTGCATGTACAAAACAATAGACTGTATAAAAATACAAAAACACGAATCTAAAAATAGTTACATTAAACAAAGTTGGTTTTGGTTTTTACGGCTCGTGTTGATTACGACAATTGTAGGCTAACGCGAGAATATGATTAATATTAAGACTAAGATAATGTATATAAAATAATGTTAAAACTGCATATAAGATGTACATTTTTGTTAACCCAATGATGTAAAACCAAATTATATCAGAGCATTTCCTACAGGTTCAATTTTAAAATAGGATTTGTTAGTAGGAACAATGGGACATCGATCCGACGAAACATATGTTGGCCATCTGCTGAAAACTAAACTCTCTGTTTCAACTTGTTTTGTTCCCTTTGGGATTTGTAAAAACGTTCCTATTGTCAACAAACACATCAACATTCTATCTCTTCTCAGAGTTTTACAAAAACATATGCATTTGGTCTACGATAACAGAAAATGATAATTACTCATAAGCCTTTTGATTGTATTCGGTCGGTTTCAATTGAAAATTAACTGTTTTAAACATCTTTCCTACACACACAACTTTTATTCAATAGCCTTCATGAACTTACAGCCCTTGTTACTACAACCTCAGTTGTTTTATCCGAGTAAATAAGTTGAATTATTTCAACATAGTTTTTCACGATGTATGGAAATATGATTTATGTTATGCGCAAAACCTTGAATTATGTTTGTAATTGAACATTAGAAAATAATATAGTAACTTCAACTTTTTTTCGACAGTAGCCTATAACTTCTACCGCAAAATTGTTGTATAACCGTATACAGACACCTAACAATTGATTATTACAAGAATACATAGCTAAACGCAATCTCAGATACTAGTTAGTATCTGAGATTGCGTTTAGCTATGTATTCTTGTAATACACCCTTCCAACGCTGTTGGAATAATTATGCAAAATAATAGGGAAAGTACAATAAAAATGTTCTTTTTTTATTATAATAATACGTTTGGCCTATATATTTGAAATAGCTTGATCATAAGAAAACTAAGAATATGTATATTTATCAAATCTTAATTCTATTTTATAACGACATAACATCTCAGTTATTCAGAGTTGTTTGTTAAAAATTAGCTCATAACCATTTATTATATAATAATCAATATAATTACAATATTCTTCATCGATCAATATACTACATATATAAATATATACTTTTTAATCAATATGTATTGTATATCCGTTAACTTATATGCTAATTGTATCTAATTTTATGTAAACCCTTCTTTGTTAATACAATTCTTAATACTAATGTAAAATTTTGAAAAGCAATACTCGGATTTTCATAAACTAAAACTTTTAAGCTTGGCAAATCAAATGTGTGCCTACTTCAACACAAAGAACAACGCTTGCTCTCGCTTATATTACTTACATTGTTCCAAAACAAACTTCGCTCGACAATACCACGGTTATGACAGTTACGTCAATCAGTCACATGACTTGTGACGGACGCTACACTTGACACTAGTCAGCTGACAGTCGCTGTACGCTATGTTATGAAGCAACAAGTTTCACGATACGTTGCGAAGCGACTGAGGGAGCCGGACGCAGCTTCGTCGCGGACTGTGGACGACTGACGCGTCGAGACGTCTCTAGGTAGCTAGCGACGCCTAGACGTCGGTACGCAGCCGCCGCCCCCTCCCGTCCCCCCCCCCCCCCACCCTTGGCAACATCACCCGGTAGTGTGCAGTGGAAACTCCGTGAGAAATACACAATGTTAGAGGCTCTAGAGAAACAAACGATTAAAATATTTCTTGTAATTTTACAAAATTGGTCAATATTTTTTATGTTATTAGCTATACATTTCCGGACACAATTTCACTCGATATGGCCTAATGTTCGTGTAATTGGAGAGCAATCAGCTATTGTTGTTATAGTCAACTAGGTATGTGGTCTCAGGTGTGCCAATTGAGCGGAGCGATCAAATATGTAAATAAATAAATGATATTATTTCTAAAAACCATTTGTTATTAAAATATATCGTGGATATATAAGAACATTTATCGTAGATATAAAAATAATTAAAATTGTATTGATTAATGCGATACCTTACTATAGGCTAATATAATTAGTTAAAACCTAATGTTAGCAGAGATCTTCTTGTGTCTTTCTATCTACCTTTAATTGACTGTCCATATACTGTTCTTGAATATGCTTGTAACTCTTCCTATCGAAAATAGCTCAATCAGCAAACCTTCCATAGTCCTTATTATCGGCAACGCTACATAAGTCAAGCCGAGAGAAAATTCTGGTTTGTCAGGTCCACCATTCCCTGATCTTAAGTTAAAACTTGGCTGCCAAAACAAAAATCCATATATATATATATATATATATATATATATATCTCCACTACCACTATCCTCAAGACTCCTATTTATTTCCCTTTAATTTGTTGTTTAATGTTCTCCGTCGTATAGGTATACGTATGTAAAATTGGTAAAACCGCATCTTTCTAATGGCCTATTTAGACAAAACATAAAATTCATGATATACTCATTAGTTACAAACATCTAGCTAAATTATGTGTTCTCCATTTACAAAATATAAAAGTTAACAACAGATAAGATACAACATATGTAATTATTTTTTTTTTTTTTGCTAAAATAATTTAGTCAATTTTGTTGACACTGACGTTTACATTAGTTTCCACAAAAAACAAGCATCAGAACCGGATTCAAGTTTTACAATAGGTAAGAAGTTCATTCATAGAAAAGATAATAATGAATCCCCCTGATAATAACGGACATTTAATAGTATATTTCGTACCTAGGGCCGAAAATGAGGCTTGCCGGCTCGAGATAGTTTTTAAGTTCGAGACAAAGTCGAAAACTTAATTTGATTGAGAGCTGCAAAACCATTTCGGTCCGTGGTACGAACGCTATTTTCACCACACTATACCCTATTACTACTATTCATCACTAATAGTGCACACTGATAGTCAACACAACTACAACTTTAAGGTTATGTGAAGAAATAATTTGAGGAATCAGAAAAAAATAAAAATAAATAGTTGCTAGGCAACGGTGACAGTAACACAATTCTATGGATTTTGATTGTGTATTTAAAATGCATTCATGTTTCAAGTAAGTAAGCAGACAGCTGATTTTGCGGCCCCGGGCTGTAAAAATCTGCTCGGTCCCCAAATTACCATGACAGCTGGCATGGCCAGCAAAACGTAACTTTCAGCCACCAATTAATTAACGTATGTAATTCAGCCAAAACATCATAGTGTGGTGAAAAACAAATAGTGGGTTTCTTATAGTTTTATACAGTACTAGCTGTAACCCGCGGGCTTTGCCCCGATTACTTCTTAATTTTCAAGATGATCTCGTTCGCATGGCTCAATCACGTCCTGGTTGAAGTTCGTTCGCTACGCTCACTCACCTTTAGGTTGGAGCTCGTTAGCTACGCTCACTCACCTTTAGGTTGGAGCTCGTTCGCTGCGCTCACTTGCCTTCAGGTTAGCTCGTTCGCTACGCTCACTTGCCTTCAGGTAAGCTCGTTCGCTACGCTCACTTGCCTTCAGGTAAGCTCGTTCGCTACGCTAACTCGCCTCCAGGTTGAAGTTCGTTCGCTACGCTCAGTCACCTTTTGGTTGCAAATTAGCTGTTGTCATGAATATAAAAGAAATAATAGTGCTGCACCCTGTTGGTAATCCTTTTAACTTTAATGCTATTGAACATCATAGAACAGAACCAACTTGTTTAATTGAAACAGCTGTTAAGATTCATTAATTCCATCTCTCATAAGGTTAACATGGGAAACTCCAGAGCCACTGGGGCGGAGCCGATTGGACGGATCACGAAATTGATGGTGTATAAACCTATTCTATGACATTCTACACGTATGTAGCAAGTTTCGTGGCAATCGGTTCAGCGGTGTCTAAGTTTATCACTGCCAAACAAACAAATATATATATATATATTTATATACAAACATCCTCTTTTATACTTATAGATATATATACATATTTTTCAATTGAAATATTTTAAACTTGGATCTTTTTATTGGATAGAGACTAATTAGTGCTTTTATTAATTAATATTGTATTTGCCGAGTGTTCAAAAAATGAAAAGATTGTAAATAAAATTCTGATAAACAAAATTTAATAGCTAAATGAAATAGTTTGTTTAAATTCCCAGTTACATTTATCAATATTATTTTTTATATTAATAACATTTGCATTAATTTGAGATTAGTGCACTCAAAAATGTCCAACACCTTACTTATAAACTGTGGCTTTTAAGGGTTGTGGCTTTGATTTTACTCGTCGCGGTCGGCAATTTTACAAAATTTAATGGTTCTTCCTTAGTAAATACCGATCGGTAAATGTGTATTTGTTTGTGTTTGTGTCTTATGTACTGTATATCGTTTGACTAAACTAAACAGGCTGAACATTTCTCACTGGAAGCCTGATGATATCACAACGTCATACTGAAACCTATGCCGCAAATGACCGATTTATTTTAAACTGAAAGTTAACCATGGCCTGGCGTTGTTAACTGTCAATAGTTTAGAATAAATGGGCTCAAAATGTTTATGATAAAATGAGTAACTTTAAAGTAACTATCACTAGCCTTAGAAAATTAAATTAATACCTGATATGTTATGCGTTAAAATAATATTCATCCATCCATATAACCATATTATACATACTGTATATCCGTAATCCATTGACACACGCACGTCGTAATTTTCCTACGTATGATAAAACTATTAAAGGTAAGTTAAAAAAATGTAATATTTTGAACTATTTCATTTCCAGCGTACATCACTTTTATGATGTAAGAAAATAGTTTGTATCATATTTATGTAAAAAATGGTGAGTTGTAACAGCAGAGCTGTAACGCGAATCGTTCAGATATAGATGTAAGCAGATTTCGTCATCTCTTGAGGTCAAACGCCTTACCAATCCCGCCTCTCTCATAACACGTGTTGAGGCTTCACGCTTCACACTCTGTCTCTAGGCGAGCATTTTCTGAAACATTTGAATTTGTGCTTATTTCCTCAATCTTTTATCATCTGAGTTTTACAAACTGCTGATCCAGCACTGCTTCTCTTAAAACTGCTTCTCTTATGTGAGGAGGAAACAATAACATAGCAAGGGTTTATTTGTGTGCGAATAAACGCAAACACATATTGTAAACATTTATACAGTTGACCTGTTTATTAACTAAAAAATATTTGTATTACAAGGTTTTCTTGATAGGTAGTATTTTTTTCAGTTTAAAAAATCTATTGATTTTGATTACTATTATTATAAAAAAGTTATCTTATACTCTTAGCATACATTTATTGCTCAGTAGTTTGGAGTTACATAGACTATAATTCAAACAATAGGTCATGCTTCTTTGGTTACATTGTTTATTACCTTATTAGTAATATAATAGGGTGTCCATAAAAAACGTTTCAGTACTTCAGGAAATGAATCCTCATACTAAAAGGAAGAAAAAAGTTTATATGAAGGTATGTCCGAAAATGCAAATTTACACAGTTATCCGCCATTTTGTTTTTTATACAAACATATTTTTATTTGTGAAGTTTTACATTCGATGATTATGAAATTTGGTAACCGTGTTAACATACACAAGACCTATAATATAACAAATAATCAAGTTGTTCCGATTGCAAATTTCAAAATGGCAGCCGTTTGAATTTTTTTAACTATAATTATTAAAAACTCCTAATTCTATGAAAAAATGTCAAGAATACTTTTATTTAGCATTTTCAATTCCCTATCAAACGGTGTATTAAGGGTTAAAATACTAACTTTGCCTTATTTTTACACAAAAAACGTGATATTTCAGTTATTTTTTGCCTAATCTATTTGATCTTGGTTTTTTTTATAGGGAATTAAAAATGCTACAAAAAAGTAACCTTATTCATACATTTTTTCATAAAATTAGCCGTTTTTGTGTTATTGAAGTTAGAGAAATTCAAACAGACGCCATTTTGAAATTTACAATTGGAAAAACTTTATTATTTTTCTATCATAGGTCTTGTGTGTGTTAACATGGTTCCCAATTTCATAATCATCAAACAAAAAACGTCAACGTCACAGCTAAAAATATGTTTGTATAGAAAACAAAATGGCGGATAACTGGGTAAATATGCATTTCTGGACATACCTTCACATACACTTTTTATTCCTTTTAGTATGAGGATTAGTTCCCCAAAGTCCTGAAACGTTTTTCATGGACTCCCTGTATATAATAATATGTATAACAGTGAATTTTACAAACATTATATCTATAGGTTTAGAATAAATTTAATTTATAAATTGTGTACGTTTAATATTCCTATGTTATTCGTGTGGAGAAAATAACTTGTAGTTTACTTGTTTAAGGGTATATTTTGTTTTGTATCGAAAAATAGATTATTTATGAAACTTCAAATTATTGAAAAGTAGCCTATATAAGGGTAGTCAGTATTTTTTATGAAATAAAACCTAAAATTCGTTACTACATAATATGAATATCCGTTTCAAGTTGTTAAGCCATTACTTGAAATGTACTTCAAATCTTTTTGTACTGCAATGTTTAAACCTACATTTTTAAATG